CAGAGGGCCCTCCCACCCCCTCCCATGCTGGGATTCTGGGATTCTGTGAGCAGCTCTAGCAGGGGCAGGGACCAAGGCTGACACAAAGCCACAAAAATTAAAAAACACTACTATACAGTACAGAAGCTCTCGCTGCTCTCCGCCTGTGGCTGTTTCCGGATCGGGGCTGTTTGTTAGCAACTGGGTGCAGGTAAAGCAATGGGATTAAAGCCAGCTTGCGGCCAGAAGCAGCTGAGGACCTCACCAGCGCGGTGACACCCTCCTGGCCAGCAACGCCTGACCGTGTGACACTGCCAGTCGCCTCCACTGCAGCCACCAGTGTTAGCTGGGGTGCTACTGGGCTTTTCACTGTCAGACACCTACATGCTTTTATTTGTGATCGCCTGAATGAAGCGAGCAGTTCGACCTAACCTGAGGAGCACTGGAGAACACCTGGCTGCTGAAGGAAACAAAGCTTTACTGGTGCTCCAGAGGGGTGACTGCTTTGGTTCTTAACTGCCGAGGCCCACCGGGCAATCTTCTTGGCTCTCCTCCTTCCAAATACCGTTTTGTGGGCGTTGACCCGGCGCTGCGTGCGTACCCACGCGAAACGGGGGGTGGAAGCAAGGCAGCCGAGGGGGAACCTGGGGATTTCTCTGACCCAGAGCAGCCCTCGGCAGCCTGAACGTTTGCCAGCGCGTAACCCTCAGAAGAGGCGGGCTGTGACACCCTTCACCCGTTATTCTCATTTTTAAAGGAATTTTGGAAGGATGCAAACACCACCCAGCTCTGCCCCCCGAGCCAGGTGCCTTCCCCTGCCTTCAGCCCACACCTGTGACAGCGGGGGGGGTCTGACCCTGCTGGGGCAGGGGGCACAGCCTCGCCCTGGCTGACAAGGCGACGCGGACGGCGCATGCTGCGGCAAGGATTTATTTACATATTTTACAGCGAAGCCAAGTCAGTAAAGTGCAGTTCAACGGCCTGGGGGTCCCGACCCCAGGCTTCCCTCCCCTCAGCTCCTGGCAGCCGCGCTGCTGCTCCCCTTGGCCCCGAGGTTCTCGGGCAGCATCTGCGCCTCAAAGCCGTAGCGGAGGTAGCGGTAGATCTCCTCCGCCTTCTGCGGGCCGACCTGGGCGCCCGCGGCGATGTCCGGCGGGGGGCTGCAAGAGACCACAGCAGG